GAATTTACTGCTCGGCAACTGGCGAGCCATATGAATATTAATTGATATGTACATACGTGTCAATTTCCCTTTAAAGGAAGCATCTAAATAATGATGCTTATTTTTGCTTTATTCACTGTGCATACTTTTTCTTTTGAACATGGATTTAAGGTGTCAGGTACTTTTAAATAAACCTAAGATTTTTTTAAACATTATTCTTTTATAAAACGCGATTTATTGCAAGTATTTTAAAATAAATTCCATGTAAAAATTTCCTTTAGAAATAAAGCTATGAAAAAAAAAACAACTTAGCTTTGCTAGTTAAAGAGTTAGATGGTTTATTTGCATTTCCTCAAATTCCTCATATTAAGTCCCCTGAATTATGCATAAAATAAAGTTTTATACAAACATGTAATTACATGTGTTAGAAAAGTTAACTTGTTAGCATATCTAACTGCATATATATTAATTTTAAGAAAATAAAATGCTTAATGTAAAGGTAATTTCATTCTTGAATTACGATTTCATAAGATATGATTTTCCCGCTTGCGTGCATGATTTCTCTAAATGACAGATTGTAATTTCGAAGTATTTTGACTAATTGCATAATCACTGTATCTGCATAAAACAGCCAATTATTTTGCTTCTGTTATATGAACTTTTAGAAGTACAAATAAGTTTGAAATCCTATGAAAGTTTGTGCTCATCACTTTTCATTATCTCAATTAAAATTATGATGATTATGTTTAGAAGACAATTTAAATATATAATCATGGGTACTTACATATAAATGTATTTCATATCTTTTATTAATATTAAAAAATGACGTGCATTTACAAGATTTGGAGGCAATTATATCTAAAATTTTTCAAAAGTCTAATTTTCTCGCTCGCGCGCATGATTTTTCTGGAACAGCTTGTCAGAATTTTAAGAAATTTTAACTAATTATATAAACTCAGTATGAGTATAAAATGACCAACTATTATGATTTTTTTTAAGACAAAAAGCTTAAAAATTATATTTAATTCGAAGTTCAAAAATATTCTACTTGGGGACTTCAAAAATAAAAAAAAATGTTACGTTTCTAAATATAAAAAAAGATATTTCGATTAGTATTAAAAAAGCTCATTTTAATTATACATTATTTCCGCAATATGGGAAAAAATCAGCTAAAAACAGATATTTATTTATCTGTAATACAGCGCGCAGTATATATTACGATTATATGTCAATGACGAAAAAGGTATATTATTTTTATAGTACTTAAAATATTTGAATATCTTGAACAATAAGTAAAAGCTTAAATAAATATGGGTACGAAAGATATCGAAATAAGCATAGAAAAATTCGTGATCATAAACCAGTTAGTAAGGATATTTAAATATAAAGATATTTTTAGATGAAGGAAGTTAACGCCTGCTAATCCTTTCTTAGTGCCTAGATATTTAGCGTCGTCGGTGAATTACCCCGGTAAATCGGGAGTTGACTATCTGTTCAAGTCTAATAATTTTTTGTATGAAATAAGTAAACGTCGTCTCTAATTGAAAAATTGCGCAGAGGTAGAAATTTTAGCACAAGCAAGTCCAGCTTTATTATTTAATATTCCTTTTGAGTGAGTGTTCCTCCATTTTTTTTTCAAATAGAGATACATTCCATATAATAAATAAAACTGAGAACCGAAAAATTTATACATCAATAAGAAATAAAAATAAGCTTATTGCATTTATTAAATGGGTATTATTTTATAAGTTTATTAATATATAAATTATCATTAGTACATTTGATAAATTTATCTGAAGAAACATTTCACTGCACTATTTTATATCACTGCACTAATTGATTTCAATGCATTTGCATAAAGCCTGGAAGTGAAATATTTTTAGTCAGTTTTTTTTATCCCTTTAATCCTATCTTAACTATTTTTTTTTTGCCTTTAGTGTCTTGTATGATTTGAGTTCATCAATCTCAGACCCCGTCTTGACACTGCAAAATTATTTTCTTAGCGGCGAGAATTCCCCTATTGTTCTAGAAAGAACAACAAATATGTAAATATATAAATTCAAATAGAAATATTTATACAATCATTTCCCTATTAACAAAATTAATATCGATGGCGACTTTATTCAGAATCACGACAAATGCGAGAACAGTTACATGAAACACAGGAAAGATGAATAATCCATATTATTAAAATTATAATGCTGTTAACAATTTACCTGTATTATCAAGCAGAAAGAATGCGTTCATTTGAGCACTTAAATTTTCAAAACAAAAAGAATACACAGTACATAACGAAAGAATAAATATCATTAGAATTGAAGAAATTAAGCTGTATCTGGCATTAAAGAAAGTCATTTACAACATAAATTGCAAATATTGTTTAATTCTAAATTTTTCAAACTCGCATAAAAAAGGGCGTTAGAACTTTGGAACTTTTTGCTTTGTGGCAAAGCTTGTGTGGTAGGCATAATTTGTTATCATTGCTTTTTATTTCATATTTTTTTTCCTTTTTCCTTTTGTACTTTATGTAAATAGTTTTGTTTTATGCTGATTTGTAAACAGTAATTGTTTTCATTATTTCGCAATAAGCAAAGTTAGCTTTTTTTAGAAAGAGTTCTATTTCTCAATCCGTTAAATCTCACCCCGGATAATCGGGAACTGCTTTTATAAACTTTCTTTTAGTTACGCAGTTTTAATGCATTTAATGAAATGCATTAAAAGTTTTTTGAATAATATTTTCGCATGTAACTAAAACTAACAGAATGGGGTCGCTGTCAATAACAAATTTTAAATCAAAATTAGAAAAGTGAAATTTAAGGGAATTACTTGTATTTATTCTATATATTATTTATACACGCGCTTCTGTTTTTCCTTAAAATTATGTTAATATTCTGATACAATCGCATGCGCTCCGACTTTTTTATATGCTTGAAGTTTTATTCTACGTAAATTTAAACAGGTATATATTGTGTATCTCTACAACAGATATTTCTAATTTTTCAAATGTTTAAAGTTAAAAAAAGTTAACCCATAGATAGCCATACAAATTTCCACAAATTGGGGAAAAAAAAAAAAGAAAAAAAAAAATCTGAAATGTTTCAGATTTTAAATTACGTCCAAAGGGGCGTTTTTTAACATTTTGTGTGTTACCTTTCTTTATTAAATATCATGTTCCTCGCACTTAAACCATAAGATCTAGTGCAACAGCAATATCGCAAAATAGTTTTAAAACGAGCATATCTTTAGAATCTCCGATACAGAGACTCACGCGCTGGAGATAAAAATGTTTTTTCTGCACAACGTTGCCATTGCTCGCTTTGAAAATCCTTGAGTTTGTTAATCAAAAATTCGTCAAAGTTTTAAAAAAATAGGAAATCGATCATAAAACAAATTTCAAATTTCAAATTTGGTCTTCACATGCTCATATTCGTTAAAGGATTACGTATTTCAAAATTCGATGACTCTATGTACCGTTGTTTTATCACAATACGAGAAATATACATACATTTATGCAGATTTTTCATTATTTAATTTCTTCAAATATAATGCAGGACTCTAACATTTTGTGGCAACAGTTTGAAAAGTGAACCGACATTTATGAGTCCGACGCAAAATGCCAAAACGAAACTAATAGTCCTTCGGGATTCAAATCCCTTTGGACTAAAAAAAAAAAAAAAAAAAAAAAAAAAAAAAAACTAAATGCACGCTTTTTTTACCTCAATACAATAAAAAGTTTGTAGTGGAAAGCGATGAATATTTTCGGTACCGTTCCAACACACACGATCAAAAAAATCCTTGTTTCGTATAAAGCACATTAAAGGTTTGACTTGTGGTTCATTTAAAAAAAAAATAATCTAGATATGGCTTTTGTGTAACAATTTTTCTTGTTCACATCAAAGGAGGTACCTCTGTCTCTTTTATTACAGGGTGAATCACCGAAAATGAATCTGAAAATACATGATTGAGAAAATAGCAAAAACATACAGCTGCCTGGTTTCAAGAGTATATGAATTATCATTAAAGACCGCATTTTCTCTTACATGCGTGAAGCATATATGTGATTTCACATACATGCATGAAGCATATATATGAAAATATAGCTAATGAAATTACATAAGACACAATATTTGATCCTCAATATAATCGGCCTTTCTTAGAATTTTTCAGAGAACTGAATGATATAGAGATGTAAAAACAAAACTGTTGATTTACTTTAAATAAGATCTGATAAAACTCTATTTTTTACGAAATAAGAATGATGTCTTTGGATTTATAAGAGACATAAATTATTGCTTCTAACGAACATGCATAATACATACCTTTCTATTTTAATCAGCATGCCGCTTTAAGTGTAATCATTCGATCTATAAATGGTGAATAAAACTATCACGAAAGTTTAAAATATCAATACGTATGAGTCAGTAAGATCCATATTCTAATATTAAAAGGGGTTTTGAATAATTGCAACTTTCTCAAACATTCGTTCACTATTAAATAACTCATACAATAAGTTGTCTTCAGGAGAAATCTAAGGCAACATCCGAAAATGAAAAATATGTTTGCTCATTGAAACATTTTGATGCCGAACTCTAGAACTCAAATAAATGAGCTTGAAAGTATTTGCGATTTAGATAAGTTATTGCATTACTAATTTCAAAAATCAAATAGTTAAATAAAAATTCACCTATAGTGATTATCCCCCTCCCCACATAAAAATACATTCATTGTTGAAATAAGCACGTTTTCAGCTCCAGCTGAATAAAACGTTACTATTTTACACCTGTTTTCTGTTGACACTGCTAGTGAAAAACTTGTTACACAAACGAAATGCTGATTGTTTTGAATTTATGGCCAAAGAAAGAACCGCGTTTCAGCTACGATGAAACTATAGCATCCTGTTATTTTACTCGACAACATTTCAATGAAGGAAAGAAGAAACAATACTACGGTTCTCATTCATGATGTCTGCATCAAATGTGAAGAGGGCTGACATTTTTTTATTTGTTACAATTCTCTAAAATAGAAAGGATTAGCAGGGGGCAACTTCCTTCATCATCATTCAATAACATGAAAGGATTCTTTACTTACCTCTCCATTTAAAAGCACTTAGAGAAAACTGATATCACTGAAATTCGTTCCTAAATTTCGTTCAAGAATTCTGGGTGAGATTAAATTATTTTTATTTAAAAATTTAATTCTTTGTATCTCATAATGCAAAGTAAAAAATAAGAAAATAGGAAAAACTATCTTTATTTACTGTTAAAGATACCTTTGTACTGCTTCAGTATCCTTCCTAAATCTCTATATTAAATACTGATAAACTAAAAGAACTTTTAATAACAAAAATGAATAGGAGATTTTCAGTTTTTCACGATTACATTTTTCAGCATTTTCAAGGAAATTTTATTTTTCTCCACTTAATGAGAAGAAAAATAAGGCTTATTCTTCTTTAACTCAGATAGTTACAAATATCTGGTTATAGAATATAATGAATTCATTTTAATTCGTTTGAATGTACAATTTGTTTTTATTAATTAATTAAGATATGTTATTTCTAAATAACAGTGTTTTAAATAAGAGAGATATTTTAATTTTTAAGTTAAACTAAACACTGAAGCAAAAAACTAGTAAATTATCATTTCTACTTGTCTTATTTGTTATTATTTAAAAAATTATTTCAAGAGGACGTATGGAAAATATTTTGATATGGCTATTACTTTATTCAAAGGCTTTTTTAGGTAATTCGAAAGCAAAAATATTGTATGTATGAATTACATGCTTGTGGATTACATGAATTATTTTGCCTTTATTTCATGTTTAATCTTAGTTAACTGAGAGTTTTTTCTAAATCTTTATAATTCATCAATACTGAAAAATTTTATTCTAAAAAACAAAAGCTTTTAAACAACATGCACTTCATCTCCTAACTTATAATTGTATTTAGTCAGGAAAAAAAATGTAGTTTATTTGCTTTAAATAAGAGAGATTAAAGAAAAGATTAATTTTTTACTGAATTTGAGTAATTAATTAAGGTGTAAATTCCATGCGCGAAATGTTTCAAATTATATAGCTTTCGAGGATTAAAATGAAATGTATTAATAAATATGTTAATATTATTTTATATTTCAAATGTATGTTTATTTACTAGTCTGGTTAAAAATGAGAAACGGTATATTATTTATTATGTAAAGCTGTAATAGCTTAAACACTAGAGAGAGGACTTGGATATTTTATGTATTTAACAATTTCATTGCATCTCCTTTTTAAAAATTCTATTGGGTATTCCCAATGAAATTCACAAATGCCTAAAATATTTGTGCATCCAAAATTTGAAGAAATCAAATAAGAGTTTTATCTGTTCACCGCTTTAAACAAGTCATGTCAACTATTTTCACAGTTCTTTTAAAATATTAGCCTATTTAATTTCTTTTTTCTTTAGTTCTATTTATTAAGGCAACAGCGTTTTTCTTACTTCAGTGCCTCATCCCACTGGCATTGTGAACATGCATTGTATTTACAATCAGAATTTGTGAAGATTTTTATGAATAGAATTTAATGTGAAACTGAACATCAAATTTTAATCATTAGGATTTTTTTAAAGCAGAAGATATGAAAAATGAGCAAGCCCTTGCCCGGACTCGAACCACGGACCTCTAGAATGCGCTCCGAATGTGCTGACCATTACACCACGAAGGCATGCTATGAACGAGGGAGAAATACCTTATAAAGGTTATAAACAGATTCGGTTCTTGTCTACATTTCTCAATCTGTCTGCAAATATAAGTAACAATTCATTATAATTGCAAATTAATATAAGTAACAACGCAAAAGGGATCTAAATAATAATTAAAATTTAATTCGATAGTAATATAAATTTGACTCTGTTGGGTGAAAAGATAATTAAATTTTTTCAAAAGAGGAAGTGTGAACATGTGGTATTTTTAATCTCAAAATTTTTCAATATATATAATATGACTAGTATACAAATGAAAGCTGTTAAGAGTAACTCTATCAACCTAATGACTCCTTATCAAACAGTTAGACTCGAATTCATAGAATCATTTTAGCAATACTATTTACTTGATCAAAGGAAGGAATTTTTATCATAGATTGTTCTGTAAAGACCTTATTTTGTTAAGTGGAAAATGTTTAAATAGCATTTTAATATAAAAACGTAGTAGATAACGGGAATTTTCTGCTTTTCTTTTAAAGACATATCGTTGTAAGAAATATGTGATTATCGGTTATTGGTCAGCAATATGTATCGACAATAAAGACTACTGACACTATGCATTTCATCATTCTATGAATTTTCTTCTTCAAATAAAATCGAATGTATAAATAAAGAAAGCTTTGATAAAAATAAGGGCGGATGTATTTAAGGATAATATGGATAATGTGTTCTACGTAGAATTTTAATCTGGAAATTTTCGGTAAATAAACAAATAAATGTTACAAAAATTAGCTGTTTAAAGATAAAATTACATTGGGATTGAAATAATATTAATTTTTTAATCTACAGATGAAACGCTAATTCAGCCCTATTGGCTCCTATTAGTCTAATAAGCTCTTCACGCAAATACGACAAAGTTATGTGAAGGTTTTAATTAAACTTGAATTCAAACAGAAGGCCCCATTTATACAGTCAAACTTCCACTACTTGCGGGTAGTAAATAACATAAAATTGAATTTATAAAATAAATTTATGCAGGCGGAGAATACATAAATTTGGTTTAACTAAGCTGCCGTGATTTGATGTAAGCTAGCAAACTGGCAAAGCTGGGAGTTTGAAAGTAAAGCTATAAGAGTCGGTATTAAACGCTCTGCAACTAAAACATTCAAACCCCACGCCTTAAGAAGAAGTTAAGTAAAAATCCAAATCATAAAAATTGGTTAAATATTATGAAATGTCTGAGAAATTTGAAATTTACGTTTTTATGATGTCTTAGAAATACAAAATAATTTAGATTAAATTTTAATAGATTAATATTGCACTAAATATTCAGAGATTCATTTTTTTACAATAATGGATTTTATCTTTAGAATTAATTCACACTAAGTGTAACTCAACCTTCAGAATCATTTTATAAAAACTAATTATTCCTTAGAAAACTGAAAACTAAAATCAAAGTTTAGAAAAAGTTACAAGTGGTACAGGAGAAAGCAAGTTGTAATTTTTTTAATACTATTGTTGAACGCTTTCAAACGCTTTGAACGCTTTTCATTTTATGAGAAAGCTGTATGTCTTTCATCTACTTATAGTGCAATGCAGGTAATTCGTACTATTCTGTAAGTGTTATCAGTTTCGAATTGTTTTTACAATGGTCTCTTCTTAGAACCTTACATAATTAAAACCGTTTTGTCCAAAAGTAGAACTTTTCGCGCAAAATTTCTCGAAGCGTGTTAATAGCATGACGGCTTATCGCAAGAATTCTACAGTTTCTTGGACTGGAAATATTCTGTGTCTGGGAGATCTGCTGCTTCATATTTGGGACATCTTTACACAAATGCTTGCATAGCAAGAATTTAATGTTCTGCATTAAATTTGCGCTGTCATATTGATTCATCGTGTCATGCAAATTTTTTTTAAATTCATATAGAACTTTTAATATATTACGCGATTTGTAAATAATTTTGGAAATAAGAGTTTAATGTTCGAATGATATTATAAAATATGCTTACTTCACATAAAATTAATTACCTGTTACGCATATAAATTTGAATAAAGATCTATAAAAAGAAAAAACATTAACCCTCACCCGAGTCCTTCTTTTGTATGTGTACTGCATATCTTTTGAATCAATTCATTTGTTTCAGAATAATAACGTTTTTTAAAATAACGTTTTATTTTTCAACTTGATATATGTAAAAAAAGCCATATTTCTCTACATAAAGAAATGTAGGATGATGAATAACCGTTTGATCTCTTTTTGAACTGAGTTTAAATCTGCATTCAAAACTGATTATTTCATCCATATGAAATTAGTCATGCGGGATTTCCTAGGAAGAAATACTGTTATTTTAATTTATCAAATGTATATTAGATGATTATTGTTATTATTTCAGCTTATCGTTGCATTTGAAATGGTGACCTGGGCAATAGTTTTGGCATTATGCTTAACTAGTTTTATCACAGCGGATCACGATAACAAAAGCCACAAACATGACAATAACAAAACTCTTGGAGAAGACCATAATAAAACTGACGGATATGAAAATGTTTGGAAAAAGATGATCTGTGGTAAATATTTTTACTTGTTATAAATTATAAGGAAAAAAATAAAGAAGGTAAATAACCAAAAATCTTTAAATGCTATTTTTACGAAACGAAATAATTGTAGCTCGTACTTTTGCTTGTCAAACTAACTAATATTTTTTAATTTTTATCTGTTCAACCTTTAAATTTATACACGTGTTCCATCGAACGTTGCTCGTATGTTACGTTAAAAAGCAACTTGAACAGAATATCGCTTAATTTTGCACTTCATATGTGCCATAATATCGGGACACCGTCAATCAAATACGATTTGGTTTTCTATTCTGATTACATAAATGAAAGTGCATAATAATGCCCTGCATATTTGCGAAAATTCTTTTCTGTTAATTAATAAAAACTGTTCTTTCACTTTTATGCCAGGATATTTTCGCGAAGGTATTTTTGCCTTATCAAACAGTGGCTTACTTATCAAACAGTGGCAATAAAATGCTGACATGCGTCCCTTATGAAGATCGCTTTTTAAATTTAAAGTAGCAACCTTCATATAAGCGCTAGCACATTTAAGCCAGAGCGTCGCTATACAAGTAAGATTTTCCTTTGCTTTATTAATAAAAGTAGTAAAATAAAATCTTACGTGCATAGTGATATTACAACATAAAAATGCCATAGCATGAAGGCTGCGAATTTCAAGTTAAATCTGATTTTCATGCACCTTGGTGTTGAGGTAAACTTTTGATGGTTCCTTTCTTGACGAAAGTTTCCGACTTGCGAATAAAGGGTTTCTAGGTAATTTAACAGACTCAGGCCTTCAGGTTTTAAATTGTATAGATATCTTCAGGCTTTAAGTTATGTATATATATATATATAAAATAAAACCTTCAGGACCTCCTCTTACCCATCTGACTATTACGTCATGTGCCCATACTGCAGAATTATCAATGAGCCGGCAACATCGCACATATTAGCGATAGCCCGGCAATACATGTATTGATTGATTGATTGATTTAAATTATATATAGTATTAAACGAAGATATTGCAATTTCATAAATGAGTATTACGTTGCACGTTATAAAATGTCTTAAAACATTTTTTTATAATAAACTTTTGCACAGTACTAATTCTTGCGTATTTAAACAGAAAAAAATGACCAAACGTTATACCAGGATATTGAGTCTTGCTTTCGGATGGAATCCAAAGCTGTAAGTATAGCATATCCTACTATCTATATATATATATGTCAAAAATTTCTTGTTGTGCTCACTTGTGAGATCTTAAGCTGCGGTTATAACGAAAGCCCCAGTTTTAAACTCTTAATATACATATTAATTTACTAATAAACTTTAGTTTCATTGTAGAATTTAGAATAAGTTAACATGAGATTTTTGGTTAGTTAATATTCTACTTATATCTGCATACAGTTGGTGCTACTTGCAAAAAAAAAAAAAAAAAAAAAAAAAAAAAAAAAAAATACTGCACATTTACATTTTTAAGATATTTTATTCGATTGAATAACTGTTGGAAAATAGTAAAATCAATTTGATGAATGTATTTATCTTTCATTTCTCAGCTGAAGTCCACTCACCCACCTAGGGAGTTTGTAACTAATTTCTTACTTCATTTGTAGTTGTTGTCATTGCTGAAAATATTCTTTCAGTTTCTGCCGCTAAATAAGGGAAAAATTATCAACTTATAAGGTATTCCTCCCGCCTTCTTAGCGTGCCTTCGTGGTGCAGCAGGCGTTTACGAAATTGAGAGGGGTAACAAATAATAGGATAACTAATCCCAACTGCTGAAAATTGTTTTCCTGATGTTCTAATTCCTGTGATTCTTAATGTTAACTGATTGATAAACATTTTAAAAAAAATACGTATTTCAAAGTTTTTTGAGACTATTAAATACATACAAACTCAAACATTTCTGATAGAGAAACTATAGGTAGTATGTCCCTATTTCATTTTCCAGGAATTTTAATACAGAAATAATTGTTTTCAACGCAGTTTGAAAATTATTTCATGAACCTCACACACAGATTATATCATGCAACATATGTACTTTAGCCTTAGTACTTTATAACTATATGTCTGTTTACTTTATAACTATATGGGAGACCTTTCTAGCTACTTTCTAGCTACTAGTACCTCTACTAACGGTTCGCCCTAAAATATTACTTTTATTGTGGTGGCCATTTATAGCTCTTAATCTAAAATGACTACGGAAGCAATACACGGGCAAAATACAAAATATTTACCTAACTTTAATTTCTCTCCACCTGCGAATTAAACTAAATTATACAAATATAAAATCGCAGTTTCCTTGACTTACAGCTATTAGCCAGAACGTATAAAAATTCAAGTGATTACAACAACAATGCTCTTACACAAACTCCAAATAGAATTGCGTCGAATTTCATTAAGCTTTATACTTTCCAAGAGTCGCATATATTCTCCACCTGTTGCTTTTAATCAAACACAAGCTTCGGCTAGCAAGCCGGAAGCAATAGGAACAGCAAAAGTCTTTACTATAAGTCATGGCTTTTACGATTCGTCGTCTCAATTTAGAATTCGCTATTACCATAAAGATGTGCATAAACCTCTGGACTGACTGAGAACGTGATGAAACGAGACATGAAGGGAAGCTCGAAAATAAGACCATAATTGGGAGTTAAATAAAATGCCACAACTTTGTTTTTCTGACAAGCATCAAGAATTGAATTTAAGTTATGAAAGCATAATATACCAATTATGCTCATTTTAGGTTCTATATGCTACTTTTTGGAGGACGAAGGTGCGTTTGTATGATGAAATATTACATTTTCATTACCAATAAATTTTCACTACCTTTAATGCTTATATATTGAAACCTACAATAAGCAATGCGCTTACGTTTAGATGAATTGATATGTAAATGAATAAACGGATTCCCGCATCATTCCTCATTGAATTTTTGCTTACACAATTTTTATCTTTTTAGAAGAAACTTGTAAACCTGAATTTGAATAATAACTAGATAAAATTTTCCTTTTATGTGACTCCCTATTTCAGAAGTATTTTGTTGTATATGAGAAAGATCGATATGAAGGTCTTCATTTCCAATGGCTCTTTATACATTGTACGTATGATGTACTACATTTGCAAGCTGGGATTCAAATATTTCTGTTAAAGAGATGAACAGGGTTATAAAATTAATAAACACACATCGCATCAAACTCAGTATTGAACATTTTTACAAGGGATAAGAAATTACGTCAATCAAAATCACTCTATAGTGAGGATTCAAATATTATAGATAGATCTATATTCTTCGACAGTCTGAGATAGAAGACATATAATTAGCACCCTTTCAGCGACTTGAGGTTTGAAACTCGGAACGAACAGCGACTTGAGGTCCAAGACAACAAGATTTCAATGATAATAATGCAGAAATGTTTTATAGAAAATATAAGGACAAAATTATTATTCTATTTAATTATTATGTACTTCATTTTCTGAGTGTGAAAATTAAATTAGGAACATGCCAGATATTATCTTTAGCAAAACCAGAACATTTCTAATTTTCTAATTAAGAGAATATCACATAATTTGTATGTGAACAAATTGCGATAGCAAGCATTTAATTGGAATTCGTATAAAATCTATTAAATACCAGCTATTCTAACTGAGTGCATATTCTAATAATTCCACAAAGCACTTTTACATAAGAGGCCCATTTATATAACAGTGTCTTCATCCATTCATGTTAAAATACCTACTTTTCATTAGTTTTTATTGCTTATATTATTTTATAATGTCCGAAAAATGCTTAACACAGAATACCGTATTTACCCTAAAAGACGGTCTCTTCTTTTTTGCTTTATTATTGCTCTAAAGTTTATTAGAATCTTTTAAGTCGGTATTTTGATAAAGGAAATTGGTGAATTAGGAGAAGGAGTTAAATTATCTCATTGGCATAGAATATTCTGTTTCAATACTAAATAAACAAGAAAGGTAATTACCGTACTTATAAACTGCATAACTACCTCTAATTATAATAGCTACGTCTAGCTGAGTGATTTTAATCTAGGTATGAATCTTTTACACTAGCCGCTTGATGCCTGAAAACAAATAACTGACTATGTACCACCAAATGTTTCCAATGTTTCTTACTAACGATAGTAAATACTGTATTTAACTACGTAAATTACCTTTCATTCTAAACAGAATCACAATCAGAATAAAAACCTAGGTGAATATTTGTTGTCAGAAATTCACCTACCTTTTTATTTTCTAAAATTTATCTTAAATTGTAAGGAGGAACTCAGAATTGAATGAGACTTATCTTCGAATAAATACGGTATATCATTAATGGGTTAATGCGAGTCGGATTGTGTGAGTGTGAGATTGGAGAAGAAAGAAAGTTGACAAACAGTTAAGCGGAGGAGGAAAGTAAAAGGGGGAAAAATCCTGCTTATATTAGTGAATGAATGTGATACATGGGGAGGTGACAGAAAAGAATAAAGTACTTGTACCAGTACCTGCTAATATACGTCGAACTATATATTAAAATATATTTTTGACGTGACGGGTGGAAGAAACGGCGGAACTGAGCAAAGTTATACTGTCACCTGTGTGGTGCTAAAGACTCTTGCCAACGACAGGCGAGATCTTGCACATGAATTTCGTGGGCTTGCTCTGATGTTACTGGCACACAAGTAAGATAAATCACAATACGTACTACAACGACTTCATTTAAATATAGTTTCATTTACTGTATAACGGATTTCCTAGCAAACCTGATGACATTGAAACGAAGTTACAATACAGTGATCTTAAAAGAAATACAGCATTAAGTTATTATTTAATTTTGTATTTTTAAAATACTATTGCCTTCATTGAAAACGTAAATTTTTTACAGCTACCTAGGTAATTATCATTACAAATGAATTATATCGAAAGCTCTTAGTCTCCCTCAATTTCCATTACCTCTTAATCTGTTCCAAGACCCCCGAAAAATTACCTAGACTCTTCATCGACATTATTTTGTGTTTAGACAAAATAATTACAAAATAATTAATGTTCATTGATTTTTCGACATTAGTTTGTGTTTAATTGATAATATAAAAGATCAGCTTAATAGCAAGCATCATCGAAAATTAAAGGTCAGTATCTTCAAACCATTCTTAGTTCATTTCTTAAGAACAACGCCATCAACAACTACAGGATACTGAAAAGTTATTTAAATCTTTTTTCTCTTAAACCTTCTTCTTATATTGCAGCTGCCTCCTTAACAGGATACAATAGCTCATCTCATTCTTCTACTAAATCTTCTTGTGACATTATACTCCTGCTCAAAGCTAAGATTTTTGGAAGAATGTCAGAATAAATTAGGAATCAGTTATATTCAGAAATTTATCGATAATATTTGGGAATAAAAATAAACAATATTCGCACCATAAAATTTAAAGAATTTTTAATTAGTTTAAATAAGGAAATTGGTTTGAAGCGAATTCAAAAATCAATAACTAGAAGTTCCCAATTACAGCCAACTATACTTCACTGCACTTTTCGCCCGAGGTACTTAAGATAAACTGTCATTAATATTCCATTTTTAGTTGTAGCATAAGATTTAACTGTTGTTTTCTTAAGTATTTTGCCACTAGGATACTGAGTAATACTGAGGTTCTCAGTATTCTATTGGATGAGTACTTCGATGAGATGCAATGAAAAGGCAAATAACTCCATTCTAGAAGAGTCCTACAAAAGTTATAGTCATTCCGAGTATAATTTATAGACTTTAAAAGACTTTGTGTCTTTTAATTCGTGTCTCTTTTGACCATATGCTATTCTTAGTCGCTGGTTTCATAGCCAAAGGTGCCTGAATAACCGATCTCTCCAAATCATAATTAAAGATCATTCAAGTAAATTAAGACTACAGTTATTTTAGCCTTACAATTTATTGCTGACAAAGATATAGAAAAAGCACAAATTCAAGAATCTAATTTTTTAACAAATGTTCCTCTAACAGATTTTCCACTGTTGGAGAGTTTCCTTTTCTAGTAAAAGAAAAGCTTTGGTTGTATACGTATGTTCTAAGTCTCCACTTTTCTCACACCCATCTGAAAATTCAGTAACATTACAGACTGAAAGCCGATCAGAATTTTTAAGAGATGCATCTTCTTATTTCTCACCTTTAGGAAACTTAACAAAACAATATCTGAAACATC